TGCCCAGGAGACTACAGGCTGTCATTAAGGCTAAGGGTTGCCCGACTAAGTATTGATAGTTGGGTAAATACTGTCATACTAACAGCTGTCTGATTTTTGGTTGATGTAATCCATTAGGCTACATACCTTTCTATCAAAGTTATCTAACATTATCAAGCTGAATTTGTTCTGACTCCGTTTAACTCTGAGTTCTTGTTATATTTTATTACCATGTTATAAACTATAGTGAATAAACTGTGATAATGTGAGAAATGTTGAAGGTGTCTGAATAAATGTAGGTTTGACTGTATCTATTTGATAAATAAAGTTAACCAACTAACATTATACATACTCTTTTGGTTTCTGTACCCAATATTTAAAAAATTTACAAATGCAATAAAAATATTGGTATCGGTACTCGGTATCGGCAAGTACCAAAAATAAAAGTATCGGTATCGGGCGAGTACTGGAAAAAGTGGTATCGGTGCATCCCTAATGGTTACTGAGCAGTAAATCAGCATTTTAGAATGATTTCTGAAGGATCATATGACACTGAAGACTGGAGTAATGATGCTGAAAATTCAGCTTTGATCACAGGAATACAGTAGTCTATATGTTAAAACATTCAAGTAGATCATTTAAATCAACAATATTTTACAATATTACAGCGTTTACTGTATTTTTTATAAATAAATGTAGCCTTGGTGAGCATAAGAGACTTTCCCAAAAAAAATAAAAAAAAAGGGGATGGGGGGTCCTTGAAAATATTTTTCTCTACAAAACGGGGGCCCGGCAGAACAAGTTTGGGAACCACTGGCCTACTCAAACACACAATATTTAATTTAATTTAATTTAATTTAATTCATACAGGCCTACCTCATGTTGCATGTTTGCACTTCTTGAGAAAAACATTGACACAATAAAAAAAGACTTTTCAGGTCTATGTCCAATCCCTCACTTTTTCTAGTTATATAAGGTTAAAATATTTTGCCTGTAATTTTTTTTCTCATATCGCAATATAATATCGATATGAATTTTAGCTCATATCGCCCACCCCTAAATTGGATATGATCAGTTATGATTAGGGGTGCTGCGATTGATCGGCTACCAATCACTATCAGCCGATAATCGCTTTGGGATGATTGATCGTCGGTCTCTATAAAGGCTGATCTCAAAAATCCGATCTCAAACTGATGACGCGCCTGCCGTGAGAGGTTTGGCACGACATGCAGTG